GGTTACGTCACTTGCCCACCGCGGCACCGACCCCCACCGTCGTTTTGATTTTTATAGTAATAAAAATAATTTAGTTCAGTGAAAGAACAGACACTACAATTAAAAACTGAACGCGGCTGCTCAATGCAGCGTGCCGAACGACAGTCGCATCACAGATCTGATTTAATTTCTCTAGTGAGTCGAGCTGACTGACGAGAAGCGTGAGGCGAGACAGACCAGAAGAGTGAGGCGAGACAGACCAGAAGAGTGAGGCGAGACAGACCAGAAGAGCGAGGCGAGACAGACAAGAAGAGGGAGGCGAGGCAGACCAGAAGAGAGAGGAGACGGACCAGAAGAGTGAGGCGAGACGGACCAGAAGAGTGAGGCGAGACGGACCAGAAGAGTGAGGCGAGACGGACCAGAAGAGTGAGGCGAGACGGACCAGAAGAGTGAGGCGAGACGGACCAGAAGAGTGAGGCGAGACGGACCAGAAGAGTGAGGCGAGACGGACCAGAAGAGTGAGGCGAGACGGACCAGAAGAGTGAGGCGAGACGGACCAGAAGAGTGAGGCGAGACGGACCAGAAGAGTGAGGCGAGACGGACCAGAAGAGTGAGGCGAGACGGACCAGAAGAGTGAGGCGAGACGGACCAGAAGAGTGAGGCGAGACGGACCAGAAGAGTGAGGCGAGACGGACAAGAAGAGCGAGACGAGACAGACCAGAAGAGTGAGGCGAGAGAGAGACAAGACAATCGCGGATGATTTAGTTTCGAAACGAGATGCAAAAGCAACTGTTTGCCAGTATTTTGGATTTTGAAAAGCCTGTTGACTTTTGCCGTTCATCTAAGCTGATTTTGGACGTTTTTGTAAACATTAATTTCTTATTTAATTGGTTCCACATTGTTTGCTGATTTTTACTTTATTTAAACTTTGTGTCATTTATTTATTTTTTTTACATCAAGGTGTATGCCGTGCCTCCAAGCTTTCTTACTTGTTTTGCTAATAAACTTTCTACGTTTCTTATTTATTTGGTTATATATTATACGTTTACTTATTTCCAGTTCTGTATAGGCTACCTATTTAAACTTTATGTAAGTTATTTGTTATTTTATATTAGGCATAGCCTGCCCTATAGCATGGTGTATTTTTATTTGTTTTGTTAATAAAAGCTCTATGTTTTATGTGTAGGCTAAAGTGAGTTTGACGTTGTATTTTATTGTTGCGTTCATGCAATTGATGCCGAATAGCCGCTATTTGAAAGTGAAAGTAAAAGATGGAAAATTCAAACAAACTAAAAATTAACAATTGCTTTACGCCGAATTGGCGCTATTTGAAAGTGAAAGTAAAAGATGGAAAATTCAAACAAACTAAAAATTAACAATTGCTTTACGCCGAATTGGCGCTATTTGAAAGTGAAAGTAAAATGCGCACACGCTGCTTTTACAAGCTATTTAAAAGCGAAGGAAAACGAGGAAAACGAGGAAAAGAGGGAACGCCCCCGCGGTGATACCAGTATTACCGGTGTTGTCACACACTGATTAACCGGTATAAACACACACACACAAACACACACACACACACACACACACACATACTGTGTCAACTGCTCTATTGGATATTCTAGATACGTTTGTAAATCCTCCATTGACTTTTCAGAAAGCACAGAATTGTCTTCTGAAATATTAACTAACATACTGAATTAGAGTCTTCAGAGCTGGATCTATATCTACAGTAAACATTCATTTTGGAGTGAGCTATATTTGGAAATGACAACAAAATAAATGCTGTTTTCAGAGAGAAATCATGTGTGTCGATTGGTCCTCGGCTGTTTAATGCTCTTTACTGCAATCGTTCACTCGGTTGCGCTTGTGTTCTATTCTCAGGGCATCAAAGGACGCGAGGCTCCTATGAAAGACACCAAACCTGTGAACTCCAGACGCTACACAGCCACCTTTGACATAGTCAACACCACCAAAGAAGACTCGGGCCGCTACCGCTGCATCGTGCGCTCTGAGAAAGGAGTCGGAGCATCCAGTTACGGAGCTCTGGTGGTCAAACGTGAGTTTTCATTACCACTCAATAATTCATAGACGGTGATGGAGAACGCTCATAATTCTCTGGAGGTCGTGTAATATCCAGCTTACATTCAGTCGAATGTCTTTATGCACCATATATTTGGCACGCTGGTCTCCACAGACCATGATATCAACTAGTTCCTCAGATCCACAGTGGAAATTAAGTGGCATGAATATAAAAGGGCATATTCCTTCCAATTGTTAATTTTGTCTTTGCAAAGAAAATGAAAAAAAGCAATTACAAAAGAAAAGAAAGCTGCATAAGTTCAGAATGTGTAATTTTGTAGTTTAGTTTGCAGTCAAAGCTCTTTTTGAACAGTAGAGGATGTTTTATTAGGGAAATTAAGATAATTTACCATGTTTCTGTAACACTTTACAGTAAGGCTCCATTAGTTAATGTATTAACTAACATGAACAAACAATGAACAGTACATTTATTACAGTATTTATTAATCTTTGTTAATGTTAGTTAATGAAAACACAGTCGCTCATTGTTAGTTCATGTTAGTTCACAGTGCGTTAACTAATATTAACAAGCACAACTTTTGATTTTAATAATGCATTAGTAAATGTTGAAATTAACATTAAGATTAATAAATGCTGTAGAAGTGTTTTTCATTCTTAGTTCATGTTAAATAAAGTTGTTAGTAAACTTTATTGTAAAGTGTTACCAGTGTTTCTTACTGGCCATGAAACTGAATTTTCCAGTATTTTTATTACAAAAATATATATTTTCTTATGACAAATGAATTATTTAGCTGTTTTTTCTTGTATGTTAGTGACAATTAACTTAATGAAGCTGGCGCCAAAGTCAACTTTTACATGCATTTTGTGCAGAATCTAAAAATATATAATATTTCTTCCAATTGTTAATTTAGTAAAAAAAAACAAATACGTTGCATTAGATTAAAATTAGTAATTAAGCAAATGTTTTTTTACATGCATTTGCTGTTTGGCAAAATCAGTTCTTTTGCAGAAGTTCAACATGCATAACATTTCTTCTAATTGTTATATTTGTTTATGTAAAAAATAAAAAAAATAAAAAAATAAAAGTTACACAAGTTCAGAATGTGCTGTTTAGTTTCAGTAAAAGCTCTTTTTGTACTGTAAAGGATGTTATGATGGGTGAATTAAGAAAATCAAGCAGCCTAAAATATATTTTTTACTGTAAATGCAAAAGAAGAAGATCTTATTCGGCAGTCGTTTGTGTCGGCGTTTCACTAGTTTTGGATCAGAGCCGGTGTGTGTGTGTGTTATATATGAGTTCTGTCATTAGAACGAGTGTTGAGCTGTAAATCTTGCTCTGATTTCCTCTCTTGCCTCTGTTTCGTGTCAGACTGCATCAGGCTTTATGTGTGCTTGCTAGCGGTGGCTCCTCTCCGCTCCTCTCGTTCATCACGCCTCTCTCTGCTTATTAGCCCAGATTGGCTCAGCAAATCGTATTATTTTACATTTTGCCCCTTTAGATTAAATATCGGCCTGTGAAGCGGTGTGAAACACTTCTATCTAATTGTTAATTTAGTAAAAAAAAACAAATACGTTGCATTAGATTAAAATTAGTAATTAAGCAAATGTTTTTTTACATGCATTTGCTGTTTGGCAAAATCAGTTCTTTTGCAGAAGTTCAACATGCATAACATTTCTTCTAATTGTTATATTTGTTTATGTAAAAAATAAAAAAAATAAAAAAATAAAAGTTACACAAGTTCAGAATGTGCTGTTTAGTTTCAGTAAAAGCTCTTTTTGTACTGTAAAGGATGTTATGATGGGTGAATTAAGAAAATCAAGCAGCCTAAAATATATTTTTTACTGTAAATGCAAAAGAAGAAGATCTTATTCGGCAGTCGTTTGTGTCGGCGTTTCACTAGTTTTGGATCAGAGCCGGTGTGTGTGTGTGTTATATATGAGTTCTGTCATTAGAACGAGTGTTGAGCTGTAAATCTTGCTCTGATTTCCTCTCTTGCCTCTGTTTCGTGTCAGACTGCATCAGGCTTTATGTGTGCTTGCTAGCGGTGGCTCCTCTCCGCTCCTCTCGTTCATCACGCCTCTCTCTGCTTATTAGCCCAGATTGGCTCAGCAAATCGTATTATTTTACATTTTGCCCCTTTAGATTAAATATCGGCCTGTGAAGCGGTGTGAAACACGTTTTGTTGGAGACTCTCATTCGTTTGTGTGTGTGAGAGAGTGTGTGTGTGTGTGTGTGTTTGTGTGTTTGTGAGTGTGAGTGTGTGTTTGAGTGTGTGTGTGTGTGTGTTAGGGAGTGAGTGTGTGTGTGTATGTGTTAGTGTGTGTGTGTGTGTGTGTGTGTGTGTGTGTGTGTGTGTGTGTGTGTGTGTTTGTGTGTGTGTGTGTGTGTGTGTGTTAGTGTGTGTGAGTGTGAGTGTGTGTTTGAGTGTGTGTGTGTGCGTGTGAGTGTGTGTGTGTGTGTGTTAGGGAGTGAGTGCGTGTGAGTGTGTGTGTGTGTGTGTGTGTGAGGGTGTGTGTGTGTGTGTGTGTGTTAGGGAGGGAGTGTGTGTGTATATGTGTTAGTGTGTGTGTGTGTGTGTGTGTGTGTGTGTGTGTGTGTGTGTGATGAGAGCGGCCAAGGGCAGCGACGGGCGTCACAACGCTCTGCTTCCTCCAGGAGAAAGACGCCCGCAGGTTAACAAGACTGACCCACGTCCTGTGACAGCACAATGAGAGTCATAAATCATGTACTGCATGCTTCCTTTCTCTTTCCACACACACACACACACACACACACACACACACACACACACACACACACCTCACTCCCGCCTCCTGCATGCGCCACTGCAACTCTCTCTCACTCACTATCCCC